CTCAGAAAGGATGTGTTAATATTGATCATTAACATTTGGGCAAAGGCCAGCTTGAGCCTTCTGACAGCTCTGGACCAACAACAGCCACTCTGACCTGGGGGAGGTAGGATTAGCTGTTTGAGTCAGGGAGAGGAATTGAAATGGGTATAATCCCAGCCTAATGCTCGTTCCAGGGATTGGCTGCCATAATTTTCCTGAAATTTATGTCCTAAATAAGCCCAGCTTGCCAGGCTGACAGCCTTGGGAGGCACCAGGATGCCAAGTCATGGAATGATGGAACCCCCTGAGCTGGAAGGATCCACCAGGACCATCTAACCCCTGGCCCTGCACAGACACCCCCAGATCCCACCCTGGGCATCCCTGGAGCAGTGTCCAAATGCTCCTGGCAGCCTCAGGGCTGTGCCCATTCCCTGGGGAGCCTGGGCAATGCCAGCACCCTGTGGGGGAAGAAACTTCCCTGAGATCCAACCTAAATCCTCCTGACAGCTCCAGCCCCTCCCTGGGTCCTTGGGCAGGTCCCTCAGCCAGGCCAGGCTCTCACTTCATTCATTTTATTGAGCTTGTGGCTCATGTTAAAGGCAGCTGTGAAAGGTCAGAGCTCCCTGAGCTCTCTGGAAAATGATTTTGAGCACAGCTCATTCTCCACCTCCCCTAGCCCAGCTCAGCTGATATCAGCAGCTATCTGATGCTGCTGGAGCAGAAATGACTTTTTAGAGCTCCCAGCCCTGCCAAGTCAGGCTCCATCTCTTAACCTTGAGGATATGCAAAGATTCCAGGTCAATAAAATGTTTTTCAGAAGTTTCACCACCAGGAAAGAGCTTTTGGTGGTAGTCCTGCCTCTGGAACCCTACCTGCCTGGATGCACACAGCTCCAAAGCCACCTGGCTCCAGCTCCAGCTTTGTGTGCAGCATATTCCAAGATGCCTCCTGGAATCGGAGCTTTTCAGGACACAGAGCCACATTTCCTTGCCTTGAATCCAACAAAGCCAGCCCTGCACAGAATACCTCGCTGGCACTGCAGGACAGGAGCTGGCAGCAGGGACTGCCACCCCCTGCCACTGTGGCCTTTGGGCTGAGCAGTTTCCTCCCAGGCTGTGCCCGGAAGGGAAATGTGTTATTTATCTTCAAACTCCTGATCTCAGAGTGTGCTCGTGCCTCAGTCCAGGGATTTTCATTTTAGGTTACAAATTCAGCATGATCCCCTCCCTCCCTCCCTCCCTTCTCCAGGAGTACAGTGTCTATAATTTAATAACTCCTCCCACACCCCAAGTTTCCACAGGGACTGAACAGCCAAGAGAGAACACACAAGGAGGGAACCAACATTTATATTTCTGCTGTTGCTCTGTGCGGCAGATTTGATACTTAGCACAAAGTAATTGGTTTTTAAACTAATTGTATTGGACTTCAACTAATTCTACCTCCCTGTCTCCATAGGATAAAGTGCTCTCCTCCTCTGTGCAGGCAGGAATGAGGTGAAGATTTTGGATTTCCCGCTGTTCACACACCTTCAGCCACCCTGGAGAAGTGTGTGGAGGGGCACAGCAATGCACATCGTGTTTATCCACAGATGACTCGGCGCCGTTGCCAAAGGATCCAGATCCGCGTCATTTTTCCTGGCAAGAAGCTCTGGATCCTTTGTGAGCTGTTTCCAATTATTATATTAACTGAGAAAGTAAACAATGCCGTGCTATTAGATAGAGCTGGCACAAATAAATGCTGCTGCTCCCTCTCCAGACTTGATTATTATTAAGAAATAAAAATATCAGTTTCAAGTAGCTCCTAATGCAGATTAAATGAACAGCATGATCTGTCTCAGTTGGACAAATTTATCTGTGATTCCAACTTAGCTGCACACATTCATGGAATCATGGAATGGTTTGGGTTGGAAGGGATTTAGAGCTCATCCCCTTCCAGCCCCTGCCACGGGCAGGGACACCTCCTGCTAGCCCAGGTTGCTCCAGCCCCGAAATAAATCCCCTCCATTGGGTTTGTCTGGAGCTCACCACACTCATTAATCCAATTGCAGCGTGCTACGAAACCTCCCAGCTCCTCAAAGGTTTGTGCAATGCTTTCTCTGGTGCTTGGCTTCTGCTTTACTGCAGGGAAAATGATCCTCTTCAGCCCCTCTCAGATTTTAGGAATTTTCCCACTCCCTGCCTTGTTCACTGAGCTTCCACAAGTTGCAGTTTTCCTTCTTTCCTTGCAGTTTTCATTCATGTTGTGCTCTTGTCCTCAGGGATTTTTTCAGAGGCAGCTCAAGAGCTGCTGTGCTGCCTGTAATTTATTTCTCTGTTGGAGTCTGCCGAAGTTTACTCCACTCCCAGCCCTTCTGCTGCTGTGTTTAACTGTGGCTCTGCCTCTCCAAGGGTGACACCAGGCCCCTGGACAGGAGCAGGGAGGAGATAAATGCTGCTCTCTGAGAGAGAGGCGTCCATGCTTCCCTGACTGCCAAGGGTACGCAGCTGCAGGGAAAAGCTCTGCCAGGAGTGGATATGGATGAGACAACAGCACCGAGCCCCTGCAGAGACCATCAGCTCTGCTAGGTCCCTGGGATTTGGGAAATTGTCTCTCCTTCTCGTGCTGGGAGGTGCAAACGCAGCTTGGGGAGCAGTTTGGCTTCCAAGTACCAACTCAGTCTGAGGCAGCTGGGAAAAGGAAGCTCTGGCCAGCCCAGGAGCTGTGCTGGGCTGCCCTGGGAGTTGCAGGGGATGGGGATGAGATCTGACTTCTCCATGGGGTAAAGCGGGAGCTTCTCACCAGGACATGGGAGGGAAAATCTGTATCCCAAGTGCTGTGTGTGTATGGATGTGGGACAGGAACACTGGGAACCAGAGCTACTGCTTGGGACAAGCAGAGTTTGGATTTTCAGCTGCTGCCTGGCTCTTTCCCAGCCTTCTGTGCTGGACAATAAAGAGCGTCTATGACATAAATTCAAAGGTACAAAGTGTAAAAAAAGTCTGGTTTTTGCTCTGATTTGTTGACAGTGTGGATGCAGGATCTTTTGTTATTGGTATCCAGCGAGCCCGGAATCCTCTGATATGTAAATCAAGGTGAATATTTGACCCAAGGCAACTTTAAATTTAAAAGTAAAAGTCCTTGGTATTACCCTTGTAATAAAATTAGCCTTTTTTCTCCCAAACAATTGAATTTTATCATTGATTCCTGTGTTACAAGCTCTCAATGGGGCATTAACCTTTTAAAGAGTTTAGCTGGGGTGGTTCTTTTTTGTCTGTTGAAATCTCTTTAAGATAAATTCAAATTTCAAATGCAAGACTGATATGTTCAAGGAACTCCTCTCATGGTGCCAGTTTTGGTGGCTCAGGCAGAAACTGTTGCTGTGCTGGAGACATGACATGATGCCTGGGGCTCATTGCATCCTCTTGGGTACAAATCCTTTGGTTTTGGGGCTCTGGGACACAAATGCCCCAGGGCAGGCAGTGAAGGGAGGGGCAGAGAAGAGGAGCTGTTCTCCCCCCCAGCCAAGTAGATGTTGTATGGACCCAAATCTCAGGTTTGAGGCATAATTTGAGCCTCAAGTTTCTTAAAAACTAAATGAGTGGGTGGGTTTAGGGAGTTTGGCAGCTAAATATAGTGCAAACTCTACCTGAGCTTCATCTCTGGTTTAGCTCCCAGTGCCTGAGGCTCTCTCCAGTGAACTCAGAGCTTTGGGGCTGCTGGTGTCAGGTGCCAAAACAGCCTCAGCAGCAGTTCTGTGTGCAGCTCTGCCTCAGCCTGTGGACAGCAGCAGCTCAAGGAGCCCTGGCCAGGCCGGGTTGTGGCTGATTAAAAAGTCTCTGGTTGTGACCAGTTGCTGCTAATAAAAGGTTTCACTCCCGTTGTCCTGGCAACAGAAGTTTTTGGGAGGAGCGGAGCTGGGCGGAGAAGTCGCTGTGCCAGGCACAGGTGCCAAGTGGGGACAGGAGGGATGTGGTGGGGACGTATCCAAACAGCCATGGTCTGGTCAAGGAGGGACCAGGGTGGCCAAAAGGGCCCTGATGCAGCTTTCCAGGGCAATGCCTTTGTGCTCCTCAGCTGCCACCCAGAGCCTTTGTGTCTCACTAGCTGAAGAGCTGGAGGAATTCTGCAGCCTAGGAATGGGCTATGGAGCAGGCTCTGTTCTGTCCTAGGTGCTGGTGCCACCCCTGTGACAGCTCCAGGGCTCCAGCAGGTCATTAACAGGAGCACAAACACGATCTGGGCACGCCCTGCTGTGCTGTGGGGCTGAGGGACCTGTGCAGCCTCAGCCCTGGCTCTCCACAATGCTCATTAGGTTTGTACAAGCTGCAAGAAGTCATCTTGCTGTACATAATTTTAATTGCCTGCTCCACAATTGCCTGTCAAATATATGCTCTGTTGAGTGGCATAACCTGCCTGCTAAATTGCAACAGGGATTAAAAAAAAAAAAAAAAATACTGCAGAAAGTAAAAGGAAAAAATCTAATTATGAACTAGAATGGCATTCTCAATCTCTATTGCCATCTGCAGCCTGGTGTGTTAGGACCAGCACAAACAAATCAATAAAACCTGCAGCTTTTCTTCTGCTGCCTTTGGCAGTTGTGAGGAGTTTGTGCAGTGTTTGTGGGAGCTCTCTGGTTCCTCCTCTCTGGTGAAGTGCTGTCCTCAGCCAGGAGGTTTCACCGCTCATTTTATTTAAAAAATCCAGGGTTGGGATGTGAAAACTCTGCACCTGGAGGGTGGGCAGCAGTGAAAGGGTTAAAACGAATTATCTGGGCTGCAGCTTTAATACGTCTCGTGTGGAGGACACGAAACTGAGTTTGGTAGGAGGTTCTTTGTCTGGAGCAGCCTTGGCAGTAAACAGAGCTGTGATCTCAGAGGCAATGAGGCTCCCGGGAGCGCCGGGAGCAGCGGCCGTGGGGCAGCTCCGAGTGACCAGCAGGATGGAACTGGAGTGAAGCTGCTCCTGTGGTGAGCCAAGCCCACCCTCTCCTCTTAGTCTGAGTTTCCTAGAGAGCAGAGGGAGCGGAGGATGAGGAGAGGGCAATGAGCGGTCCCAGGGAGGACGGCCGCTGTCGCAGGGCCATCAGCATCCTCACCGAGCTGTGCCAGAAGAAAAGCCTGCCCAGCTTGGACCTGGATACCTGCAGGGAATTCCTCCTGCTGCCTTCTGACCAGAGCCTGATTATCTCCGAGCCAGGTATGGCCCCTGCTCCCGTCTGTTGGAGGGTGCTCGTGGAAGGCAGGAGGGACATCCAGCCCCTACAGGGGAAAGAAAATGTTTGGTAGCTCCTGTTAGACCCAGGGGTTGGTCCTGGCACCCCTCTGGGAGGGTTCCTTCCCATTCCACATGTTCCATGGTGAAGTTTTGGGTCCTGCCTCACCTGTCGATGTGTAACGGGACAGTTGCACAGGATGTTCTGAGCTGCTTCACCAGATAAAGTTCCTGTGAAAATTCCTTTCTCAAAAACACAGGCTCCTGTCCTGTATGAAGCAAGACCAAACCAACAAAAAAGCAGTAAAGAGCTGACTTAAGCCACTGGGATGGCAGGAACTGGTTGGTGCTATCCCAGTTTGAGAAATGGAGGGACTCACAGGGATTTCTGTTCATCCGTAAGGGATCTCAGTGTACTTTCATGTGTGTGTTCTACCTTCCCTAAGAACTGCCTGAGTTGTTCCTGGTCAGGCTGTAGAGCCAGGGAGGGACTCTGGTGTGTCAGGGATGAGTCAGGAGCAGGAATTCTGCTCCAGGAGCAAAGGGGCAGCTCCGTGTTGCAAAGTGGGGAATTTTCCCTGCACCTGTTCTCACAGCTGCTTGCTCCAGAAAGCTCCTGCTGTCACCTCACAAGACATTGGCTGGGGCAGTTGGAAGCCCAGGCTCATGTGCTGAGGAGCAAAACCCTAAACCTCACAGCTTTTAGAACTATTGGTAACCTGCTGAAAGTTGCTTGTGTATTCCAACATTTTCATAGACAGCTTCTTCTAAAGTTCCCGTAGGCAATGATCTGTAAATCCAACGGATTTCACATCGTTTTTTACAGCATGAGTTTTCACAAACTTTCCTCCTCTGCTAAGCACACCGTGCAGAGCCCCTGTGCAGCATAGGTGCCCATCAATCCCTGGCCAAGGCTTTCTGTGTCACCTTCCCTCCCTTTCTCCTGCCCCTCTGTGCCAAGACCTGGTGTTGGGGTGCAGCTGGCATCCCCAGGGCACAGGGCACCAGGATTCTGCCAGCCCTTGGTTTGCAGTGGTGCTTTGCGGATACCTCCAGGCAAATCCCTTCCTTCCTCTTCACCTCTAACTTAATTCTCTTCCTGAAATGAGTTTGCTTCATACCTGCCTGCTGTGGAGGCCTCTTATCACTGCTGTGTCCTTACACATCACATCCCAGGCAGCAATTTTCTCTATTGCAAATAGAACAAACAGTTTGCAAACTTATTGCATCGATTTGGAATTCTTTACCTTGCACCAAAATTAACATTTTCCTGACTCTGCAGCAGAAATAAAATATAAAAAAATAAAAAAATAAATAAAAATAATAATTTAAAAAAATTTGTTCTGCTCTTGTTCTGGTCCACCCTGATATGACAGATCTGCATGTGTTTGTGAAGCCTGTCCAAGACCTTGTGTTCAGGTTGGGATCACATCATCATCATCATCATCATCATCATCATCATCATCGTCTGCCTCCAGCACATCGAATGTCTATGTGCTCTGAGCTGTGGTTTGAGCGTCAACCCCAGCACCCCAGGCAAGCTGTGCCGGGCCGGCTGCACGAACAGCCAGGGCTGCTGTCTCTGCTCTGCACGACTGGGCCCATTTTTATGTCTAGACAGCACTGAGGACACAGTTTGGGCCTGACATGTACGAATATTTCTCAGCCCCGTGCTGTAAAGCTGCTCCAGCAAGGGGCAAAAAATCTGTGAGCGTCAAGAGTTACAGAGATACCATGCCCTCCCCATCAGTGTCTGGATGTTTATCTAATTATCTGAACTGATGCTTTGTCCATTTCTCACATTGAGCAGGTTTGCTCTGGGTTGCCTGCTGTCCCGTGCTCAGCCCATCCTCACAAGGCAGGCAGAGGGAAGCTGTGTTTGTGTGCTTTGTGTGGAGGTGGCAGATGGCAGCAGGCAGGTGCTATGTCAGGAGCAGTGCAGAGGAGCCCTGGCTCCCGCCGGAGCGTCCCCGTGTGGGCAGCACAGCCCCAGCAGCCAAACGCCAAATTTGCTGGAGTCAAACTGGCCTTGTTTGTCATCATCATGTGGAGTCCCTGGCTTCTCGGGCAGTTTGTTGCCTCCTGGATAAATATATTAACTGCTGGCTGGATCAGCTTGGTTTGTGGGGTGTCCTGCTGAAGTTCAGGTTGAAGGAAGCACTGCCGAAGCTGGAGCCAGGCTGCTCCTGCACTGCTCAGCACAGGGGCAGTTTGGTCTTTTCTGCTGTTTCATGCCTGGATGAAACTGCAGTATCTTCAGGGAATGCGTGGATCCAAGAGGAAAAAAAACTATGAACATAAAAACATTGCTAAACAGTTTATGTAAGAGTAAGTTTTTGTACGGTTATTTAATTTCTTTTAAGCCATTGTGGACTGAGTGGCTGAAAGGGCTACGTGAAGTGGATGCACCTCTACCCCCTGGTTACGTAACAGCTAAATCTGCTCCTCACAGCCAACGAGAGCTGCAGCATTTCTCTCTCCACACCCGGCAGAGGAGAATTGCAGGCTTCTGCCAAATCTGTCAGAAGAAAGAGGAGTTTGGCTGGGGAAGGTTTTTGGGGTGTGAGGGGCAGCTCTCCATGCAGTTGGGCCTGTGGTGGTGCCAGGAATAGAACTGATCTCCTGACTGGGGGCCCCGAGATGGAGCGAGCTGCAGCATCCTTTTGTTGTGGTTGTCTCCAGTCCTCCCCCAGAGCTGCCTCCATCTGATCGCTCCCTTCCCTGCCAGGCGCTGGCAGTGGCACCCAGGCTGTGGGTAGTGACACTGCCTGTGCTGTGGGGACAGCAGTCACCACAGGTGATGGCCTTCAGAGGATGGACTCATTCCCTATGTGCCCTGGAGGGGTGATGGGAGCTCCTGGATGAAGCTGAGAGGGTTTGGGGCACAGCTGTACTGAGGGACAATGTCCTTGGCTGACACCTGGAGAAGCTGACCTGGATCAGAGGCTGGACAGAGTTCAGAATAAAGCAGGGATTTATTGGAAGGCCTTAAAGGACATACTTTGGGCAATACAGGAGCCTGGCCAGGGCTGCACCTTTCAGGATGGACCTGAAAATGGGTGATTGGTCACAAGGTCTCACATTTTTTTAAGTTTTGGTCCATCTGCATATTTTGGGTTAATTGTCCAATTACAACTCCAGGTTATGAAGTCCCATCCTTCTTGTTTTCTCTCTTCAGCCCATTGTTGTTGATGCTTTTGGGCCTGTAATGATTGTCCTTGGTATCAAGCTAGAAAAGGAATTGTTTTGTCTGCCTGCTCTGTGAAGAGAGCTCACTAACACTTCATATGAAGCTCAAAGCTACACACATGGACAGCACAGAATCTGAAAAATATGAAAGTTAAAAATTAAGGCATCATGGCAGTGGAGCAGGGGAGTCAGGACCCCGCAGGGCTTTGGGGACAGTGATCTGTCCCCTCTTCCCATCCCCTCTGCCTGTGGTAGTGGAGCTGCCACAGGCTCCGGGCTCTTTGGGATGCAGGGTGCTTGGGGTGGAGCAGTGCAGGTGCAGGAACTGGGCTTCAGGGACCTTGGTGAGTCCCTCCAGCTTGGGATGCTCTGTGCTCCTGTGGCTCCCCACAGCCTCCCCTGAGCTGTTCCTGCTCCCTGGGGGCTCACACAGCCTGGCTGAGGTCAGAGGCTGACAGCCCATCCCAGGAGATCCTGGGGGGGAAAGAGGAGGCTTGACTAGTTCTGAAATGATCCTGCAGGGCTGAGGAGTGTTACTAAAGAGAGTAGGTTTTGATAGGATATTGGGAAGGAATTGTTCCCTGTGAGGGTGGGCAGGCCCTGGCACAGGATGCCCAGAGAAGCTGTGGCTGCCCCATCCCTGGAAATGTCCAAGGCCAGGCTGGGCAGGGCTTGGAGCACCATGGACAGTGGAAGGTGTCCCAGCCATGGCAGGGGGTGGGACTGGATGAGCTTCAAGCTCCTTCCCACCCAAACCAGTCTGGGATCCCATGGTTCTGTGACTGGAACTGGCATCTCATGATGTTGATTTAAAGGACGGTGCCTGGGTACAGGAAGAAATTTATCCTGGGATAAATACATCCCTGGGATAAAATCCTTTGATAAGCACATCCAGGAGAAAACCTCCGGGTTTGATTTCTACCTTCAGCCCTTCCATGCCGCGACTTTCTTTAAACAATTTAATCTGGTTTTTTTTGCCTTAGTGACCCATTTGTACCAAGCTTTGCTGCAGTGAGTGATGTGCAGAGGGGCTGCAGGTTTTCCCCAGCAGACCCTTTTCATCTCAGCATGGTGAGAACCCTCCTCAAACCTTCCCTCGTGCACTGATCCATCCCAGCTAAATGCTCCTGTGCTTTCCTGCTGCAGGAGGAGAGGGCTGGAGTGAGAGGAGGGAGCAGGACAGCTGGGGAAGACACAGAGAGACCTTCTGATAACCCATGCTCCCCAGCACACAGTGTCAGCTCTCCTGTGCTCCAGCCCTCAGTAATTCAGAGCACATTTACTGCTTTACCCCTTGTGTGAACTGCTCTTTTTGAAGGGCCTGGTGCAGGCAGTACAGCTTGTACAGCGCTGAACACCCTCCTGGCACTTGGCAAAGACTATTAAAATGTTAAACCAAGCACAGAAGTGTTCTTGCTGCGGGCAGAAAAAGGGGAGAATTTCTGGGCAATAGAGGATTTTTCATTGCAGGAATGTTGGTGCAGAAAGATCATTTTTTTAATTGAGAAATTGGTTCTGGAGTATTTTCTGGGGGCAAAAACCCTGGCAGATTAGCTTGACTAATGGGAGAACTGATGACACCCCCATTCATGGTTATGGGATACCTTCAGCCGCCACCTGTGAAATATGGGCATATCTTGAATTTACTTACCAGGCATAATAACACACTTTGTGAATCACCATTCAAGAGTATTTGAAGTCAATATAACAGTAAACATGCTCCAAGTCACACTGGCAAAGCTAATATTAATCACTGAAGCCTGAGTTTCCAGAGGCCTAGCATGTGAGGAGCAGCT